ACGGAACCAGATAACGGATTTTATGTAATGTGTTGAAACGGACCTGGATCTTGTGTTTATTCAAGATTTTGGAGATCTTTTTTGTGATCCCCGCAATGTAGGGTAAAGTGATAGTTTTGAAAGGCTCCTCAAGAGGATCCTTCTTCATGGTTTGAGTGGTAGCTTTACGGATTGTATAGTCGGAGTAACCATTAGCCTTAAGAGCTTGGTGTACGTGCTTGAGTTCAGTGCCTATGTGTTCCTGGTCGGATATGCATTGGGCTCTATGGTGCAGAGTCTTGATGAGATAATTCTTCTGTGATGGATGGTGGTGGGAATCCGGTTTCAGATAACCATCCGTATGGGTAGCTTTCCTGTAGACAGAGTGGCTCATTGAACCATCAGGTCTCTTTTTCATTAGGACATCCAAAAAAGGTAGCTTGCCATCTTTTTCGACTTCTATGGTAAATCTGATGGCTGGGTGTATGGAATTGATGTGGTCGAAAAATTGGTCTAGAGCAGGCCGGCCATGTGGCCAGATGACAAAAGTGTCATCCACGTACCTCTTCCATAAGGTTGGGCGCAGAGTGGCAGTCTGGTTGGCATCAGTCTCAAATTTCTCCATGAAAATGTTAGCTATAACCGGAGATAGGGGGGAGCCCATTGGGGTGCCCTCAGTTTGTTTGTAGAAAGTTCCATTCCAAGTGAAGTATGTATTGGTTAAGCAGTGTCTCACCAGGGGGGTACCTCAGTGTTTAGTCCTTGATGAACCAAGTCTTCAATGATTGCGATGGTGTCAGGTACAGGAACTTTAGTGAATAAGGAAACTACATCAAAACTGACAAGCAGGTCGTCTGGAGACAGGGAAATACCCTTGATTGTCGATACCAGGTGAGTAGAATTTTGTACTGCAGAGGTGGTTTTTCCAGTGAAAGGCCGCAGGATTTCAGACAGAAAACGAGCCAGTTTGTAGGTGGGGGAGTTGATAGTAGAGACGATGGGACGAAGGGGTGTATCTACTTTATGTATTTTTGGTAAGCCGTATAATCTTGGTGGCCTGGCAGCAGGAGGTTTCAACGAAAACTGTTTAGTTTGATCAATTAATGCGGTTGAATCAGAAATTATTTTGTTGGTTTGTGTGACCAGGCTGTTGGTGGGATCTCTTTTTATTTTTGTATAGCTGCCATCGTCGAGTAATTCTTTAATTTTATTGTTATATTCTATTTTATCCATGATGACAGTAGCATTGCCCTTGTCGGCTGAGAGGATAACAATGTCATCCCTCTTTTTAATTTATATAATTCAAAGCGCTCATCTTTGCTGAGTTTGCTAGCTGGCATCTTAGTGTTTTTGAGGGTTGCAGCGATTTCAGATCTTGCTACGTCTGCAGCGATGTGACCCAGGCCCTTGAGAGCAACGTCTACTTGGGCAATGATATCATTAACTGGTATGTGTTTAGGTGTGACTGCAAAGTTTAGACCTTTAGCTAAAACGGATTTCAGACCATCGGAAATAGAACTGTTACTGCGATTAATTACGACTTTGTTAACGTCTAGCTTTTTGGTGTATGGGTCCGGTCTTTTGTTGGAGAGGAGGTTAAATTTGGAAATCAGGTTGTCCTTACATTTGGTCGACATAGTAACAGCTGAAGAGGCAGTCATATTGTCTACATGTTCCCAATACATCAATGATAAGTGTGATTTGTAGAGTGTCTTGTCTAACTGATCTAGTTCGGTGCGTATAAGTCTGATTTTCTCTGAGATAAGAGCTAAGCTAGTTTTGAAAAGAATTCGTTTCGCATTACAAGAAGTTACAGCAGCAGAGGTCAGTGTAAATGCGATTGGTATTACCCCAGAGTCGCGGCATCTCTTCAGAAACGTGAGAGACTCGATCAGCTGAGCCTTCTTATCCCGGAGTTTGTTCAAGGATCTTAAAGTTATGTGGAAACCCTCCCCGTAGAGGAGGTTAAATTTTGATTTAAAGCTTTCGTGACTGCAGTGATTCATATTCTTGGTTCTTTCGGTGAAGTCACGTTGAAGGGAAACAATAAAATAATAAAAATATATGTAAAACAAAATTCTCACGACGTTTCGACTGTAACACAAACAGTCATCATCAGGTGTGAAAACCAACGGCAAGAAACATTTGAAAGAAGTGGTGGTTTTTATTTATTTATTTTTATACGTTAGCACCATGGACAGCGATTTGACAGTTTGTTCAGAAGGACGAGTCCATTTATGTTCGGAAAAGAGGAGGGGGGAGACGAAAAATTAATGTATGCTGTCTGAAAGCCACCATAAGCGTGAACAATCAATTAAGACCCGAAATGGTTTATCAAATCCTTCCAATGATTGCTAAGCCAGAATCCATCTTCTCGGTTGAAATTGTCTCTGTGTTTGTATATGTGGATAACCTCATGAACGAATCTCTTATGGTAGCCCGATGGCGTGCAAAGAACCTCTGTCTTGGAGAAGTCAATGTCATGTGAGCCTACTGAATTATAACAGTGATCTGCCACGGCCGAGGTGTTGGTCCTACCGTGTTTAAGGTCTGCTTTGTGTTCACGAATGCGGTCCGAGACATGTCGTTTGGTTTCTCAATTGTAACTGCTACCACAGAGGCAACTTAGTTTATAGTCGCCCGGGTACTGTATGTCTGGAACCACATCTATTACAGACGGAACCAGATCACGGATTTTATGTAATGTGTTGAATCGGACCTGGATCTTGTGTTTATCAGGTCTCCTTTTAATTAGGACATCCAAAAAAGGTAGCTTGCCATCTTTTCGACTTCCATGGTAAATCTGATGGCTGGGTGTATGGAATTGATGTGGTCGAGGAATTGGTCTAGAATAGGCCGGCCATGTGGCCAGATGACAAAAGTGTCATCCACGTACCTCTTCCATAAGGTCGGGTGTAGAGTGGCAGTCTGGATGGCGTCAGTCTCAAATTTCTCCATGATAATATTGATGTAGTTTAGATTTTAGTTTTTTTTTTATCAGTTTACTATATGGTATTCATTATATAGTGTAGTGTATACCCAGTAACTTTATGTTAATAGCTCAGCTTATTGGAGAATATATTGAGTACATTGATTATATTGATGTAGTTTATATTTAGTTCTTTCACATCGGTATATTGCATGATAGGTGGGTAGTTGCAGTTATTTAGCGTCAATATACTAAATACCTCTGTTGATATGTAGACTATGACTTTAACATAGCTACTTCTGTGACCAGTTACATGCTAATCCCTCACACTAACATCATGCTAATCTCCCAGTTACATGCTAATTTCTGATTTTAACATCCTGCTAATCTATCACATAAACACAGCTACTTCAATGCTAAATTCTTCTGTTGATATGTAAACTCCTTTGTCAAGGCGCTCTGCTCCTCCCACCCAGCTTAAAATACGCTGCCAAGCTTAGCAGTGTTCATTGGAGCGCTGTCTTTCCGACAGTTCTGTTTCTTCACCTGAGGAAGGCTACTTGTGTTGTGGCCGAAACGTCGTGGGAATTTTTTTTTATTGTTTTCTTTTTATTATTTTTATATTTCCCTTCTACATGACTTTACCGAAAGAACCAAGAAGATAATGGACAACGTTTCGGGCAATGGTTCATGTTTCTGTTTTGAAACAAAATCATTGCCCAAACCGTTGCCTCATGTATATACTGTATTTTTTATTTAGTGCAGCGTTATTCACGAATGTGTTGAGTGTTTGTTATCCGTGCTTACGCACCACTACTAATGTAATGTAATATTACAACAGCATAAATGTGCACGGTACTTTATTCAGACAAATAGCTTTTTTTCTTTGTATGGATTCTACAGCAGTAGACATAGTTTATGTACAGTGCTCTCGCACACTGCGTTTAAGGATGCTTGTTAATCTACAGCCGAGTGTAAAATGGGTGTGACATAAATTTGGATACGGCCTTTGTGAGATAATAAACGGTTTGGCAGAGTGGCAGAGCCAGGAGTGACATACCAGACGTCTGTGTGGAGGTGGAGGGGTTTGTGGGGTGCTAGTTTGGGGTGGAATTAAGGGCAGGTGGTGGCAGGAAAAGAATATGGGCCTCTTAACCAATAAGGCTCCAGTTAGCCCCATGTCGCTCTTAAAGAGGAATGCTTTGTACAAATGAAAGGGCACGCTTTTTCAAAAAGAAAATGTTCACATCTGTTACCCACAGTGAGTTATGGGACTTAGGGTTGGTTTTTGTACGATACCTCCACAAATGTTATTTTAATGCTTTTCTTTCCCAGGAAAAAAAATACAGTACATTTGCCAATGGATACCCTAGACCCTTGTTCCCATTATAATAAAATGATAGGCTTACATAATATGGGTGTGCTTTTTAAAATATGTACAATATATCCTTTATACTAATGGGATTACAATACATCTTCAAAAATAATCATGCGACCCTCTTCTCAGTAATCCTTTCGGATAAGTCAAAAGGGCCACAACAGAGTCTGTGAAATTGTTCCCAGCTCTACATCCTAATACCAAACAGCTGCAGAAATGTGAAGGGAGAAAAAATGTACTGTACTGCGTCTAATTGATAAATTGTACCGCATCAAAGAGTTTCTGCCCCAAACACAAAGAGCATCTTTAAGGCATCTGAAAAGGAAGTCGGCGATCGAATGTGCACCGCGACAGCAGTAACCAGCGCGAAGGCACCAGTGGTGGGTGGTGGGTAAAAAAAACGGGGAAGTAGCTTTAAGTGGGGGGTGGGGAGCAAGCAAGATGATGGAAAGAGCACGGATACGGTCTCGGTGCAAGGAAGGGTAGGGAGGGAGGGATTGTGCGTGTTTGCGGTGGGGGTTGTGGAGTAACCTCCCCTGTTTGCTCACAATGGGGGGGGGGCGGGCAGTGGCTGCAATCATGTTAGCGTCTGCTTGCTCCCAGCATTCTAATTATCGGCTTCTCAATTGAAACCTCCACGAACCGCCTAGGTTGTCATTAAATATTACAAATCCATGGAACTGCAATTTAAAAACAACACTTGAACACTTTCACTTTTGACTCGGTCACGTTAGCTTTGGCTTTTAATGGCATCTCTCCAGTACAATGTAAGGACTGTTAAACTATTCTGGTGCATCATTGTAAGGAAACGTACTCGCTGCTGTCACAGTTGTTTCATATGCGGGACATCAAGAACGTAACTTCTGATATGTCACACAAACATTTTTACCCACCATGGATGGTTCATTTTTTTAATATGCGTGTCAAACAATGTGTGTTTTAGTTATGTACTAGCGCAGGAAAGTAAGATGACTGTCTTGAAAGGAAAACCTAAATTTGTAATAGGCGATGTTTCGATTAATGGCCCTAGTTTATACAAATTAAATATAGTATCACCATCCCCTAAATGTCACCTATGTCACCTATGCGTTTTTTTATTAGTTATTCATGGCAATGTGACTGTATTAACGATATGTTGAGGTTTTTGTTATTTTTTCTCATGCACTACTCCCACTGCAGTACCAGAAAAAAATTACACGTCTTGTATGTAAAAAAAAGAGTTAACTTAATTTCGTGGAATAATGAATCTGTTTTCCATTATGCATATTTTCTGTCTTAACAAATGCCATTTACAATACGGTATAATTTGGATTTAAATTCGTCTTACATGCAACCTATTCTCTCTCAGTGGATGTGTCTACAATAGCAGTTGGGGCATGGCTTTCCTGGGGAAAATTGGCATCTTTATTTCTTGCTACCAGCAGCCAAATTCTATATAATTCATAAACATGATTTTATATGCGCTACGTATTATAAACGGTATACACCGCAAGTGACTATATGGAAGTACCTGTACTGCACACGATATACTGTAGTTTATACACACTAACGTATTTGTCTGTGGGCTGCCAGTGGGTATAAATCGAACGCATGTGTGTGCCAACATGCCCCTCTTACACGAGTGCGGGAATTGCCGTGTTCTGCAACAAAAACACCGCAGGGGAAATGGAAACATAGCAAAATAAATCTGGGTTTTAATGCTGAAGGAATCCAAAGTAATTTAAATTGTAATTTTAATGCCCCAAAACACGCGCTCACTTTGGGTTGTATTTACGAAGGAACGAAATGCAAGGGTGAAAGGACTGAAAACGATCCTAACTAAACGTTGATATACTGATTGAGAGTTTGACTAAGCAAGTATATTCCACAAGGTAAGGTAAATGTTCAAAACTTTTAGACACATCAACATGCCTCAGAGTATGTGAAACATGGAATCATATTAATCGAAAGAACCATTAGCAAAATGAATAAAACACTTAAAAGGATACCCGTGGTATATATAGGGGGTGTTCTTACCGAAAACATTTGGTCAACCAGCGGAATGCGTTAACACGCTTGACTCTGCTGATGAAACCCAGCAGGTTGAAACCGTGCTTGCTTTGCGTGCTAGAACACTGCTGGCTTACAAAGCATATAAAGCTGATAATGCTATCAACTAATAACATCTATTTTCATGGGATGAAATGGAACGGAATGTCAACGTATGTATTACTCATAACACTGAAAAGGAGCATATTTTCATGAAAACACGCAAAGTATATGAAGTACCCAGGTTTAAATTCACATTTGTACGGTGTTCTAAAAAGTACTATGGGGATAAAAGTTATTTCGGTCCTTCGTAAGCAGCTATACTCTGCGAACAGATGAAAAACGTAACGGCTTGGGAACAGCAAGACGAATAAGTCATTTATATTTTGTTGATGCACTCAGGTGCACAGTTAATGCGTTTTAGTCTAAATAAATTACACGAAACGGACTCCATCCAATTACAGTTATAACACATTAATCATGGTACACGATGCCAATAATGACCCTTAAAAGAAGAGAAACCCATTTTTGGAAAATCGAAAATTGTGCGGTGGTACTCCGTTGGCAGTGGTGCGGACACAAGGCGAAATCAACAAATTCGTCAATAGCATTGCCCCGAAAGAGGTACTGTACATTATATAATTGGCCACCTTTTAGGTAATGTTCCGTACTTCAAGGCAATGGCGCTAGAGCGTTAAGTTACTTATTGGGCATAAACACAGACAGGGTAACTTTAACTCAAATAAAGTCACCGTACTTTTTTTGTTATTGTAAAACCCATTTGCTCACTCACACCGTCAAGCCAGTTTCACTCCCTTTTTAGTAACCCCCCAAAACGTTTAAGTGAGCAGCAGGTGATGCGTGTGAGTTGTTGTTGTTGTTGCCGCAACCACACAGTAGTAAACGTAGTCTCGGTGCAATCGGCAAGAGCCACATGAACACATGAACTCAAGACTTTGAGGGCGGGAAGAGGCAAAGCAAAGGCGTGCCTTGCCCGCGAGTATTCGCGCATGTGATGCATTTAACACGCGCTCGCTGCGTGTCAACAGAGCTCGGCGGCGAACATCAAAGGCGCCGGCCCGGCAGCCAATGGGCTCGCTCCTCTGCCGCTCGGCCGAAGCTCATTGGCCCTCATCCGCCTCGGTCCTTGCGCTCTTTGCTCTGCGGGGAGGGGGTTTGGGGGGGGAAGGAAGATCGGAGAGTTTGGTGGTGGTGGTGATGGTTGTGGGATGTGGTGGGTGGTGGTGGGTGGTGGTGGGTGGTGGTGGTGGGTGGTGGTGGGTGGTGGTGGGTGGTGGTGGGTGGTGGTGGGGTAGGAGTTTTATGGGTGGCTTTTGCAGTAAATTAAAAACGTTAACGTTAATTTAAACACCAAACACATGCAAATATGTACGGTGGTGTTATGTCAAGTTGCGTTGTTTTGGTTTGATGAAGATGTGCGTGGGAGTCTGGTGGGGGGGTAATTGAATTGACGATAGTAGATGGGGGGGCGGGCTGTTATTATTAGTGGATATTGCAGTCGATAAAGAAAACCGTGCATTTAGAAGAAAACTTAAAAAAAAACATTAGCAGTTTAGCGTCAGATAAGGCGTTTTAATGTAGTCGTTGCTGAAATGTTTGATAAAAAAAAAATTTGGGGCGGATGTGACACGCGGTGTTGTTTCGTTTTAAGTTTTTTTTTTGTTATAGTTAAGAGAACAAAAACAAAACGCGGAATGGTTAAACATGTGCCGCGTTTGCAGACAAGCCCCCTCCTCCTCCTCCTCCACCTCTCCTCATGCTTTCAGTCACAGGCGACAGTCTGTTTAAACATAAATGCTAGGGCAATGTATCTTTGTAGGCGATACAAAGAAGCAATGAGCACTTCTTTTTTTTTCCTGCTCTCCCCTCCGTTTAACTCTTTAACCGATGTCCGATAGAGACTGTAGCGGAGAGCTTCTACGCGGATGAAAATAGCGACTTCAAATTTGACAACGGAGAGACAAGACGAGCAACAACAAGAAGAAAACATCGCGTTACGGAACAATCTTTGTCGTCTATAATAATAAACAAAGCCACCCGATTTAAAAAAAAAACATGCTTGTCAATAGAAACCACGGACAGGCGCGTGTCACGCCTGCAAGGGCTCGAGCACAAAAGCATCTCAATGGTTGTCGTAACCAAGAAGCCTTCCGCTATACTTTAAATCCTTTATGCATATCGGCGCTTTAACGATTACGCCTGTGTTCCAGCGGAATAGTTGCTGTGTCATTTGATTAGGGTCTTTCCTCCTCCTCCTCCCCCAGCAGCAGACGGCACCGCCACCTCCCCATACAACCACCAAAACCACACCATCTCTCTCCTGGCAGCAGCTCTTTCTCTCTGCCTTCCTCCCTTCCTCCCTCCTCCTCTCTCGCTTTTCGCCTCTTTCTCTCTCTCTCTGGCTCTCTCCCCCCCCCCACCATCACCACCATCACCACCCCTTCGCCTTCGGGGGAAGCTCGTGTGAAAAGAGACTCGCACACAAGCGCCCTCGAATGGAGCGGAGGCGGGTGGCGAGGATTTTTTTTGTTGGGGTGGTGGTGGTGGTGGGGTGGTGGTGGTGGGTGGTGTGTGGTGGTGGTGGTGGTGTGTGGGGGTTTTAGGCCAGCCCTGACTGATGGGAAAACAGTTTAGCTTCGCACAGAACGTGGCCCGTGTAATGCATTATTAGCGGATACAATTATCACTGAGCGGGAATGCCCCCTTTGAGCGAGCGAGCGTGAGTGTGTGTGAGTGTACAACGCCGTGGTGCTTGCTCAGACTGACGCGTCCGTGGGTGTAAAATGAAACTCACCTAAGCAACTTTTGACCGTCTGACGGGCCCGGGGGTTGTCAACATTCCGACCTATTTTACTTCGCCGCTGTATTCTTTCTTTTAAAAAAAAAACCCACCGCGTGCGTCTGCGTGTGTGCCCGTGTGTGTGTGTATACCTTAAAACAACAGTTATTAGCTTCAAGCGCAACACACACACACGCACACACAAGAGACGCATCACGACGATTTTAGTGGCTTCTCACCACCACCACCAACACCACCACCACTCTTTCACTCTCTCCCTCTCTCAGTTTTTTTTTCCTACCCACCCCCCCTTTCTCTTTTTCTCTCGATGTCGCCTTTTGATGTGGCATTGCTCTTGCGAAGACAGACGATGAACAAGGTAACGGTTGAACAATAGATTCTTTCACTCCACGTTCGCGAGAGTGGCACGGAGCCAGACCGACATTTACAAGAAGTTTGTGTTCAACCAGAAGGAGAAAAAGCGAGGATTTGAACCGTGCTTGACAGGGCTTTGGGGGGGGGGGGCAGGAGGAGGAGATGATGATGATGATCTTAGTTTTAGCGCCACCGCGTTTTCTTGGGATTGCAACTGGCGGCGGTCTTATTTGATAATCCTCATCGCGTGCTGGATTAGCCGCCGCGGTTTAAAGGAGGGGTGGTTGATACTTTAGATTTTTTTTTTACCCCCCCCCCACTCTCCTCTTCCGTTCGTGTTTGTTTGTTTGGGGGGCGGCCGGAACCCCGGCGTGGAGACATCACGGCGTCTGGTTATGTTTCTCCACACCTACTACTTCCACTACTACTACGACCGCCGCCGTATCGCGTACCGGCGGCGCTGCCTCTGCAGCCTCTCTGCTGCTGCTTCTCCTCCTCCTCCTGCTGCTGCCTCTTCTTCTTCTTCTTCGGCCGCGTCCTGCAAGCGGCGACTCAAGTCGTTTGTCGCAGCCGTGGGGGAACGACGACAACAACAACTACTGTTGCCGCGGCTGCTGCTGCTGCTGCTGCCTCTGTTGTGAATGGGAGAAGAACCCCATGGAGTTAAAGCGACCGGCGGCTGCGGCGGCGGCGGCGTCGGCTGCGGCGTCGTCGGCGGTGGCGGCGGCGGCGGTGGTGGCGAAGGAGCAGCACAAAACTTGTTAATGCGTTTAACGGTGACATGTTACGTGTTCGGAGGGGCGCCGCAAGTGCAACGATTGCTCGATCGCACTTGCTAAAGGCGCTGTTCGACTCGGTTTTTTTTTCACTCTTCTGTTGTGCGCGTGTGTGTGTGTGTCTCTCTCTCTCTCTTTCAGTGCGTGCGCGTGTGTGTGTGTCAATATTTTTTTTGTTCTTGCCGGATCTCATTTGTCAGCATTTGGGTGAATTTACGTGCGCGGTTAGCCGCTTGCTAAAACTGTATTATTCAGCGTTGACGTGCGACTAATAAGACAGCAGCAGACCTTCATGGTGCCGGGGCTGCGACTGTGTTGGATACCAGCATGTCCGTGGTGGGCAGCAGCGCTGCAATAGGGGAACCGAACCCAGTCGATGCTGCGTACGATAGTGGCGACGACTGGGAAATTGGCGTCGGAGATCTGATCATTGACCTGGACGCCGATCTCGAGAAGGACCGACAGAAATTGGAACTTGGCGGAGCAGGAACCCTGGTGGGGAGTGCTTCTGCAACCGCTGGTGGCAATAGGAAAGAGGCGGCAGCGGCGGCGGCGGCAGCAGCGGCGGAGTGTGTAGCCGCTGCCGAGTGTTCTGGGAATATTAATCCCGACACAGCAGCTGGGACATCTCTGACGGAGAGCATGAAGCTCGCGGCTGCAGTCATGCAGCCAACCCAGGCGAGCCCTGAAAAGGGCGGCAAATCCAAAGTGAAGCGCAGCAAAAACTCCAAAAACGGGAGGAGGTCGCCGCCGCCGCCGCCGTCGTCGTCGGCCGCCGCAGCCGCCGCCTACGGTGCAGCGGAACGTGGCGGCGGTGGCAAGAAGGTGGTGGTGGTGGTGGACGCGCAGACGGTGCGGTCCGGAGATGCGAGTGCATCATCTCTGACTTTAGCGAACGCCGCAGCCGCGACCAACAACACCATAAACACTTCCTCCGGCGGCAGCAGCAGCAACAGCGGCGCTGCAAGCCGGAGTAGCAAGGAGGAGAAGCCGACCCGAGCGGGTCGTGGAGGCTCCAAGAAGGCGAAGAAGGAGAAGGAGGATGTGCTGCAATGCGTGTCTGGAGGAGGGGCGCTAAGCGGTGGTGGCGGCAGCAGCAGCCCACAGTTTCGGCTGGGATCAAAGGGAGGTCCTTGCCACAGCGACAGTCTCCAGGGCAACAGTGGCCTGGGCAAGGAGGTGTCATGCCGTCTCGCGGACTTCAGCAAGGCGACGACCCTCGACTCGGGCCTGCTGGGCAACTGCATCATCGTCAAGCAAGAAGACGACGACGCGGATAATGAAGACGTGCCCCAGCCCGCAGCCAAGAAAGTCAAGAGTGAAAAGGTGAAAGTTTTGTTTACTTTTGCCCCCCCCCACCACCACCACCAAGTTTTAGCCACTGCTCTCGTTTGCTGTTATCCTTTTGGCCGCGATGTGGGGGAGGTTTTTTTTTTGGGCCCCTCGGATGTCACAATTCAGTGACAGTACCTGCATGCCTCTGCACCAGCTGCCACTTTTTTGTGTGTGTGGATTTGTTGTTGTTGCTTCAATCGATGAAAAAGCGAGTGGAGGTGGTCACCCAGTGTGTGTGACGCGAGTTACCTGGGTCCCTTTAAAGTGCAGTACTTATAGACTGTATAGGATTTTAAAAGTTACAGAAAAGTGCTTTTCTCATTTGCGTTAATCCAGAATGGCAGTTTCAGCAATTGTAAAGTGTTAATTATAAAAAAAACGTTGAGATATTGATAAGCGAGCTGTAACATACTCGAATTTAACCCAAGTTTTGTGAGGACAACATGCCATTGTAGCATCGTACCGTATAACGTTTTCCTTGATGTGCAGTGATTGAGCATTGGACGTCTAGAATGTGATACTCTGTGTGTACGTAATGGAACGTGCCTGTAACAGAGTGCCTTACATGATTATACTCACGTAAAAGTTGTGTAATAGCTGGAGAGCCCCATTTTAGAAAACCAAGGACCTGTGGTGCTTACAGTGACTTTCTCTTCCAGCTGATTTATGGTCTACAGTACTTAAGGGTCCAGACTGAGGACGTGTATCAGCTTTATTAAGTTAATTGTAAAATGGCACTGGTTAACAACCTTGATTTTAAAAGTAGAGATTAACTGTCTTATAAACGTCCTCTTGTCGATGGCCAGGGCCATTGTTTACGTATTAATAGCTTTTAAGAGTCGTGAATACATTTTAATCTTTGACACATTTACCAAAATATGACTTTTTGTTTTGTAATACGAGACACTTGAGTAAGATATCGCCAAGATACAGTACAGTACTTGAACCATATTTCTGAAACTAGTACTTTAAATTAGAAAATATACTTAGAATTTTAATTATAGTCGTGTTTGTTGGGGAAATGCCAGGTAATCTCTGGGGTTTGTTTAGGCATACTGCTGTCTTGATAAAGGTGACATCAATTGAAATGTTGACTAGCTAATAACTTTTTGTGGTTCAAAATCATGTTCATGGTATTTAAATGCGGCTGGTAACTAGAATTATGTTGAATAATTAACTATTTTTAGAAAGTTTCCAATGCAAGTTTATTTGGTTAATGTTTGTGTAATGCAGTACCAACATGGACTTGGACTTTTGTACATGTGCTCAGTCAAACAATACTATAGTCAACTAGATGTTTAGGAAATGCTGAGGTCAGCAGCTTCAGTTCCACTTTTAGTAACAACATCCAAACAGAGCTAAAAGCGTAAAACATTTTTTGGTTTCCGTTTCCCTTACGTAACTACTTAAACTTTGTGGAAATTCGTTTTGCTTACAAAAATATTTTCTCTTGGCACAGTAGCCTCAAAGCTACAATTCTGTTGGCTGAAGTTGTTTCCTAAACTGCCAATAGTATTTGCTGGCCTTGAGCAACTTCAGACATGCTGTCACATGGTACCAGAGAGTAAAAGAAGGCTTGTTGAGGTCATGATAAACATGCCCCTGTGTGTCTCAGAAAAGTGTATGCTGTTTTGTCTGGCAAAGTAGCCCTCTGTAAGAGTTTAACAAAGTTGTACTATAGCTTTGTATTTTCTCTCTCACTCTCTCCTTGCCATTACCATCATGCCCATAAAAATGTCAATATTCAGTAATTAAGTCGTTGAGTATAGATGGTATATTTTAGCATAACTGGATGTAAATTGAGTACTCTATACAGTGTAATGCAGCAGTACATCTCAAATGTTCTAATATTTATATCTTTGATTTTGTTCAGCTTACTTTATGCACCTTTTAAAACCGCTTGTAAAAGGCCCCAATTGAACTACTAGTTTCAGGTAAATTAATTGATATTGCGTGGTGGGTGAGGTTTTTTTCGGTTGATTTGAGTGGAAGGAAGAGTGAGGCATTTTGTTCAGCACTCACTGGCGTGTTCGTTTGAAGAGCACCTTGCAGTTGCACTGGAATGTTGAGACGCTGTTCTGTGAAACTCCCCGTCTCCTTGATCTGCCTGATAAGGGCACTCGGCCCCTTAGCCACTTAGACAATAGGCACTTTCAGACTTTGCTTTGCCACTTATTGTTAACAAATTTCACATTTAAGGCGTGATTCTTTTTTTTAACCCAAGGACATGTGTTTCTCATTAATGATGTAAAACACCCCTCCTTGAGCAGCTGTTATGAGGTCAGAGCTAACATTTCAATATGAAAACACATTTTACATAATTAATTAGCGGTCACATTTGTAATGCAGTCAGAGTTGATATTTGTAATTATTCGATGTGTGTATACAGTGCATGATACAGAACAGTACTGCAAGCTATTTACTGTTGAAGTACACAGTACTGGATTGTGTACTGTATTTCAGTATATACTAAAGTTACAGTCCTGCACTGTGATTGAATGTCCCTTAAAATTACTCTCCTGCATAGAAAATCATACTGCAAAGTACAATAGGAAAGCACATATTAAGGTAATGACATTAATTTTACATATTTTTTTTCTGATAAGCGCAAAACACTTGGGCGGTGATCTAAAATTATAATTTAACAGCAATATTTTTTAAAGAGTCGGCATATGCATCTTCAATGGCATAAACATTTATTAAAAAAAACCGTGTGAACACAGTAAGTGCTATATTCGCAAGATATGCAGACAAACTTGGTGAATGGGGACGTGCCAATGCTTGTGCACAAGACTAATGATGAGGGTAAGGTAGTAGCTGAGACTAAATGGCACAAAAGCAGTGATAAATCTGGGAAATTGCTAAAGGGAAAATCTTGAAAGGTGCTGAAATTTTGCTTCCAGTTTCACCATCTGTATGCCGCTTGTCAGGGATTTCAATTAGGTTGCCCTTCCAAATATGTTGATATGTTTCAAATATCATCCTTCAGTAAGGTTTTTTTAATGTCACCTGAATGAGAATTCCTCCCAATTTTTCTGATTAATTTATTGAAATACAATACAATGCAGTATTCAGTATCTTCAAGTGAATAATATTGCAAGCTGTATACAGTACTCTTAATTGGGACAGGTTCGAATCAGGATCAGAATCTTTATTTATCCTGGAGAAATCCGAAGAGCTATGAAGCGCTATTTCACAGATGTCCAGTAGTGGCGGGTCATAAAGTTACAGCGACAAACAATTCAATGGTCAAGTGGTGAGTCACGTATGTTGCAACAAGTCTGAAACTAAAACAGTGTAGTGTTGCATAGTGAAGAAACCCCTTAAGCGGTTAATTATGTTGTTGGAAAGATGTAACTGTTGGCCCTGTGTTTCCAAAGATCTGCAACAAACTCCACAAACCACAGTTAAGTACTGGACTTTTGTGGTTCACTATCCCTTCATTGTTTAAGATATTAAATCCTGTTTAGTTGTTTATGGACACCACTGCTTCATTCCACTGTTTGTCATGGTGGTTGTTTAATCATGCTTCACCACACTGGTCAGCGCAGAATATTTGTGGATGGGGAGGGTAGTGGTTGAAGGTACAAGGTTGCATATTATTCACCTGACCAGGACTCGAACTTGGGTTTCCAGCCAGGTTCGTTGCACAAGTGCACTCACCACTGCGCGATTATACTGTGACGCTAATTATATTTCTTATTGCGGCAGTGCTGTAATAGTACGGAAGCCAATAAAGTATGTTCCCTACGTTGGTCATATTAAACGCAGTAGTTCAATATCGGTCACGTGGAATGAATTGGATACTCAAAATGTCCAGCGCTAATGAGCTAAAAAAGGCAATGCCTTGGTGCCTAGAAAAGATTCCATTACATATTTTACAGTCATTATTTTCGTACTATACTCGATTTTGTGATTACCTTGAGATTACCGAGGACTTGATTCAAGACGGGCAATATGACGGTCACAATTTACCTTTATTACAGATTGTAAAGCATTGTAGGGACATTTTTTCGCATAATTGTAGTGGTGATGTTAAATTGTACTTTATCTCTGGTTTTGTCCACAAATCTTCACCAACAATGAAGTCTACAGTAGAGCGCAGGACTGTAATACTGTGCAGTAATTCTGTAATTTGTATGGCTTTGTTGTGAATGTCAGTGTGGAAGGGTATACTAAACAAGCAAGACTGTGTTTTCATTGGCTCAGTTTTTATTAACTTAGACAGGGCTGGAACTATGGTGATCAAATTCTCTCTTTTACATCGGGTTGGTGACAATAACATGGAGAACTGGCCTCCTTATTAACTCTGGCTGTGTTTACACACGCATCAGTTTTAATTACATACGGTTTCTGAAACCAATCTGGAAACAGTTGTGGCACATTTGCACAGCGTTTTATTGCTGTGGTTTAAATCATTTTAAGTCCGCCTGTTCACTGAAAACAAATATGAAAGAGCTTCCAATGCATATTGACTGTATTCTATTTATATAGATCATGAGATACGGGTGATATACAGCGTTTGGAAAACTAAATTAGCGTTATGTTTGTAAGATTTGTAATTGTACCTTAAGTGATTATGACCACCATCACTTCCAACACATTCCTTCTCAGGATCTCTGTAATTTGATTTGGATGATTAAGAACAGTGCAATACTTAATTTGCAATGTGTTATTTTGTTTAGTAATATATTCACCTGCTCGTCCCCACACGAACAGCAGTTTTATTTCCTAATACTGTACAGTACGCCCACACTACAGACGCCTTTACTTTCATTTTATATTTTAAACAGGTTCACATGGCCCACAGCCAAAACCTTGCTCTTTGCAAAAGTCATTTTTGTGGAGGCTGAGTTGTGTTTTTTTCCACTCGACCATCTCTTCCAAGTCACCGTGATGCGAACAATATTTAGCCTCTTGATCCACTGGAGCGGGGTTCACATGTTTGATTTTGCACACTGGAGAGACACCGTGTGTGTGTGTACAAATGT